GGCTTGGTAGATATCCAGCTAAATTCAGGGGACTGGTTGAAACGGAGTCCCCCACTCCTCCCATTGAATGGCTTTAACAGTTTGATATTTTTAAACCTCTGCCTGAGTTGATGCTTTAATTTGGATTTTAGAGTGTTCCTTGTATAGGTCTTGACTGATGGGGTTTTGGAATGTAGGTGAGGTTTGGTGGGGTGAGGTCTGGAGCCAACAACCAAGAAAGAATTCTTGAGACATCTTTGGTGCAAAATGGTGGTTTATTAAAGCACAAGGACAGGACCTGTGGGCAGAAAGAGCTACTGCCCCCGGGTTGTGAGTTGTGGCTGATTATATACGATGGGGTTGGGGGAGGTAAGGAAAAGGGAGGTTTCAAAAGAATTTTCATATGGTAAAGAAGACTCACAGGATACCAGAGTCCTTGTCATTGTCAAGTTAAGGTTGTTTTTCCCTCTAGCAAGGCATTAGCATGAAGATAGTTGGGAGCTTCCTGGAGGAACATTGCCCTTTGCCTGCTTCAAGTATCTGTCAATGGGCCGCAGATTATAAGGACATTTAATTGTATTTACATTCCCTTCTGGAAGCTAGACCATTGATAGAAATGCCTTGTTTTTGTAAATTGCTAAGGCTTTTGTAAACTGAGGGAGACTCATGTCTTGCAGGATTGTGATCTCTATAAGTTAACTATTTCTTTTTCCTTTAGGGCACCCAGGAGTGCATGAGGAATGTCACATATATCCCATGGGGTGGGGGTGGGGGGTGTTGTGGGGTGTCAGCTTCTGCTTTGTCCTCAGCTTCCCTCATCACTGACCACTCATTTTTATTCATTGTACCTATTTTGTCTTTAGTTATGGTTGGTTGTTATTGTAAATCTGTTGTTTTCTTTTATCACATCTTCTGATTAGTTTTGTTTGTGTATATGAATATTCTTTATGTGTGTCTATTTGTTCTGTATTATTTATTCTTCTGAATTGTTTTATTGCTTTGCAGTTGAGGTTTTTGGGTTCACCAGAACCATTTTCATCTGTAGAGATAATTGTATCTCTTCCTTTCTAATTTTTATGGCTCTAATTGCATTAGGTATATCTCCAATACAATTAAAAAAAATTTTTTTTTAAAGATTTTATTTATTTATTTGACAGAGAGAGACACAGTGAGAGAGGGAACACAAGCAGGGGGAGTGGGAGAGGGAGAAGCAGGCTTCCCGCTGAGCAGGGAGCCCAATGCGGGGCTTGATCCCAGGACCCTGGGATCATGACCTGAGCCGAAGGCAGATGCTTAACGACTGAGCCACCCAGGCACCCCCCCAAATTTTTTATTGTTATGTTAATCACTGTACATTACATCATTAGTTTTAGATGTAGTGTTCCATGATTCATTGTTTGTGCATAACACCCAGTGCTCCATGCAGAACGTGCCCTCCACAATACCCATCACCAGGCTAACCCAACCTCCCACCCTCCTCCCCTCTAGAACCCTCAGTTCGTTTTTCAGAGTCCATCGTCTCTCATGGTTCGTCTACCCCTCCGATTTCCCCCCCTTCATTCTTCCCCTCCTGCTACCTTCTTCTTTTTTCTTTTTCTCTTAACATATATTGCATTATTTGTTTCAGAGGTACAGATATGAGATTCAACAGTCTTGCACAATTCACAGCGCTTACCAGAGCACATACCCTCCCCAGTGTCTATCACCCAGTCACCCCCTCCCTCCCACCCCACCCCCCACTCCAGCAACCCTCAGTTTGTTTCCTGAGATTAAGAATTCCTCATATCAGTGAGGTCATATGATACATGTCTTTCTCTGTTTGACATTTCGCTCAGCATAACACCCTCCAGTTCCATCCATGTCGTTGCAAATGGCAAGATCTGATTCCTTTTGATGGCTGCATAATATTCCATTGTATATATATACCACTTCTTCTTTATCCATTCATCTGTTGATGGACATCTTGGCTCTTTCCACAGTTTGGCTATTGTGGACATTGCTGCCATAATCATCGGGGTGCATATACCCCTTCGGATCCCTACTTTTGTATCTTTGGGGTAAATACCCAGTAGTGCAATTGCTGGATCATATGGTAGCTCTATTTTCAACTTTTTGAGGAACCTCCATACTGTCTTCCAGAGTGGCTGCACCAGCTTGCATTCCCACCAACAGTGTAGGAGGGTTCCCCTTTCTCCGCACCCCCGCCAACATCTGTCATTTCCTGACTTGTTAATTTAGGCATTCTGACTGGTGTGAGGTGGTATCTCATTGAGGTTTTGATTTCTCCAATACAATTTTATTTACTTATTTATTTTTACTTTATTTTTTATTTTTATTTTTTTATTATGTTCAGTTAGCCACTGTATAGTAGTACATCATTAGTTTTTGATGTGGTGTGCGATGATTCATTAGATGCATATAACACCCAGTGCTCATCACAACACGTGCCCTCCTTAGTACCCATCATCCTGTTACCCCATTCCCTTATGCCCCTCCCCTCTGAAGCCCTCAGTTTGTTTCCTGGGGTCCATAGTCTCTCATGGTTCGTCTCCCTCTCTTATTTCCCCCGCTTCAGATTTCCCTCCCTTCCCCTATGGTCCTCCATGCTATTGCTTCTCTTCCACATATGTGTGAAACCATATGATAATTGTCTTTCTCTGTTTGACTTCACTTAGCATAATCCCCTCCAGTTCCAACCATGTTGATGCAAATGATGGGTATTCATTCTTTCTGATGGCTGAATAATATTCCATTGTTCTTTATCCATTCATCTGTTGAAGGGCAACTCAGCTCCTTCCAGTTTGGCTGTTGTGGACATTGCTGCTATGAACATTGGGATGCATGTTGCCCTTCTTTTCACTACATCTGTATCTTTGGGGATAAATACCCAGGAGTGCAATTGCTGGGTCCTAGGGTAGCTCTGTTTTTAACATTTTGAGGAACCTCCATACTATTTTCCAGAGTGGCTGTACCAGCTTGCATTCCTACCAAGAGTGTAAGAGGGTTACCCTTTCTCCACATCCTCGCCAACATTTGTTATTTCCTGTTTTGTTAATTTTTGCCATTCTGACTCGTGTAAGGTGGTATCTCATTGTGGTTTTGATTTGTATTTCCCTCATGGCTAGTGATGTTGAGCACTTTTTCATGTGTCTGTTATAGCCATTTGTATGTCTTCTTTGGAGAAGTGTCTGTTCATGTCTTCTGCCCACTTTTTGACTGGGTTATTTGTTTTTTGAGTGTTGAGTTTGAGAAGTTCTTTATAGATCTTGGATCTCAGCCCTTTATCTGTAATGTCACTTGCAGATATCTTTTCCCATTCTGTGGGTTGCCTTGTTGTTTTGTTGAATGTTTCCTTTGCTGTGCAGAAGCTTTTTATCTTGATGAAGTCCCAAAACTTCATTTTCACTTTTGTTTCCCTTGCCTTTGGAGATGTGTCTTGAAAGAAGTTGCTATGGCTGATGTCGAAGAAGTAACTGCCTATGTTCTCCTCTAGGATTTTGATGGATTCCTGTCTCACACTGTGGTCTTTCATCCACTTTGAATTTATCTTTTGTATGATGTAAGAGAGTGGTCCAGTTTCATTCTCCTATACATAGCTGTCCAATTTTCCCAGCACCACATACTGAAGAGACTGTCTTTTTTCCATTGGATATTTTTTCCTGCTTTGTCAAAGATTAGTTGACCATCCAATAGAATTTTAAATAGGAATTTTAGCTATGAGTATCTTCATCTTACTCATCATTTTAATATAAATGCCTCCTTTCTCCCCATTATGAATTTAGCTTTTTTTTTTTTTTGAGAGGGAGAGAGGGTGAGAGAGAGAGAGAGAGAGAAAATCCCAAGCAGGCTCCATGCCCAGTGCAGACCCTGATGCAGGACTCAATCTTACTACCTGGAGATCATGACCTGAGTCAAAATCAAGAGTCAGACCCTCAACTGACTGAACCACCCAGGCAGCCCTAAAATTAGCTTTTTAATAGAGATATGTAATATTATATCATGTATAATATGTATATCAAATCAGTTGATTTCCCAATTAATGATTATTCTTAATGAGAAATGGGTTTTAAATATTGATCAATACTTGAAGCATTCCCATGGATGATACCATTATTTTTCTTAATATGTAATTTCCTAATTAACTTTTCCTAATATGTATTATTCCTTGCATTTCTGGAATAACACCCATCTTGTGAGGATATTGTTCTTTTAATGTTTTATTGGCCCCTTCTCATATTTTTTTTGAGAATTTGCATCAATATTTCCAAGTCAGATTGATCTGTGGTTTTAGTTTTGTGCAATATTTGTCAGGTTTTAAAATCAATATTCCACTTGCTTTAAAAATGATTTGAAAGGTTTTCTTTCCCTTCTATACCCTGACTGAGTGTCTTCAGAGGACACCCATCTTGCTGTCTCTTTCCTTAGGATAGGGAAGGCATGATTTTAGGGTAGAAATACTTCCTTTGCTTTGCTTTTTACCCAAGCCCATGGCCCAATGCCACACCATTTAACAATGTCTGTGACCTCCTGGGAAACCAGAGGTATGAATGGAATCTGATAGCTGTGATTTATATTACCATCACTTTTTCTTGTGAATTCTTTGGCATTTTTTGTAGTGGTGTTGGATACCATTGGATAGATTGAATGACAGTGATGAGAATGGGAACTGAGACTAGAAAGATCACTTCTCTTTCCTGCTTTAAAGTCATGAAGGTTAAATGAGGTACTTCATGTGTAGGGCTTCACACATGGCCAGGCACATAAAATTGCTCAATAAATGGTAGGCAAAAATTCATGATCTTTATAATTAATGAAAAGTATAATAAATATTGTTTTTAAATTACAAAGAATAATAAAGTTTGATAACTTCTATGTCAGTCCATGTTTCTCACCTGTGCCATATAGCTCAACTATTACCATGGCTGGAGTGTCTCCTCTGCCTGTCAAAAATCCCAGTTATGTCTCCTGCACACATCCTGATTTCCTTAGATATCTCTCATTATTTTATATCTTCCCTGTAGGCCAGCTGTTGAGTCAGGAGAACACTGGGTACCAGGAAAATTGGGCTCAAATCCTCATCTGCCTCTTTCTAATTGAAAGACATCAGGTAAGTTACATTACCTTTCAGAGATTTGGTTTACTCCTCTGTAAAAGAAGGCTATTATTGTCTATGCTGCAGGACCATTTTGAGAATTGAAAGAGACAATCATATATGTGATATAGTTAAGGTACATATGCACACATATTTTTTGATATTTAATGAACTGCTTACTTTTTCTGAAATCACATGGCATGTGGAACTTCCTTTGTAGCACTCATCACTTTGTCCTTGTGATTGCTATTGTTTCATTTTTTCCAAAACAAATATTTGTGTGCCCACTTAATAGTATAATAACAATGCACTGAATATACACTGTGCTATGGGCTTTGACAGCACACTGAGAGAGACACATAGCCTGACTTGCAGGGACATCAGTCAAGATTGTACAAGTTTCTTCCTTCTTCCGCTAGAATCCATTATGGAGCCCATTTTCAAAATTTAGACATTCGACAAGAGTCTCTTAGAAGACTTCATCTATTTCCAAACTTTCCTTATATCAATTCCAATCTGATTCATGCTCTGTTAATTTTGCTGCAATGTTTCATATCTTCACTGTATAATTTATTAAATACTTCCACAAGAGTGTCCCACAGGACCCTTTAAAATCTTCCCCAAGTGGGGAATAATTACAAAAAAAAAATTATTCTCTTCTTCACTATTTCATTCCTTTATTGTCATAAAAGTTTTCTACTTTTTTCTTTCTTTCTTTTTAAATCAGAGACAAATAGGGGCATTTTATAAATTAAAAGTATTTTTTTTATTATGTCCAATTAGCCAACATAGAGTACATCATTAGTTTTTGATGTAGTGTTCAATGATTCATTAGTTGCATATAACACCCAGTGCTCATCACCACACATGCCCGCCTTCATATCAAAAGTTTAATTGGGGGCGGAGCAAGATGGCGGAGGAGTAGGAGACCTGGATTTCGTCTCCTCTCAGGAATTCAGCTGGATAGGGATCAAACCATTCTGAATACCTACAAACTCAACAGGAAATCGAAGAAAAGAATAGCAACAACTCTCTGAACAGAAAAGCGACCACTTTCTGGAAGGTAGGACATGTGGAGAAGTGAATCCGAGGCGATATTAGGGAGGATAGACGGTGGGGGAGGGGCCCCTGTTGGCCGCTTCTGGCAAGTGATAGAGCCGCGGAGCAAAAATCGGAACTTTTAAAAGACTGCTCCGCTGAGGGACGTCACTCCGGTGGCTAAGCGGGGGGTGGAACCCTCCAGGACAGTGTGGTCTCAGGACCCTCGGGGTCACAGAAAGACCGGGGGTGCCTGAGTGAGGCAGAGCTCCCAGGTATCGGAAGAGGGAGGCCGGCTTCAGAGACGGAGCCGAGGCGTGGGCTCTCAGCTCGGGGTTGCCATAAACCGTGATCAGTGGCACAGTCGGGCCACTGCTCCTCCAGCAGGGACCCAACAAGCGGCAGATCCAGGGAGACTCACCTTCCTTCCCCAGGAGGAGTGGCATGGGCACACACCGCAGGGATCTGCTGGGTTTGTAGACTCCACCCGGGGTCGGGTGCCAGAGATAGAAACGTGCGGTCACAAGCCGGGTGAGCACGGAGTGTGGCCGGAGACTGGGGAGACGGGAGTGACTGACGGTTTTCTCTGGGGGCTCACTGAGGAGCAGGGCTCTGAGTTCTCGGCTCCTCCAGGGTGGAGATTGGGAGGCCACCATTCTCACTCTCTGCCTCCAAAGCTGTACGGAAAGCTCACAGGGAACAAAAGCTCTGGAGAGCAACCCGAGCAGATTACTTAGCCTGGACCGGGCAAGGGCAGGGCAATTCCGCCTCCGGCAAAGATATTTGGAAATGACAGCAACAGGCCCTTCCCCCAGAAGATCAGCGAGAACAGCCAGCCCAGACCAAGTTTACTGATCAATGAGAACCGCAGAACTCCAGCGCTAGGGGAATACTACACATAGAATTCATGGCTTTTTTACCATGATTCTTTAGTCTTGCAAAGTTAATTTTTTTTAACTGTCTTTTTTTCTTTTTCTTTTTTTTTTTTTGAATTTTTCTTTTTCCCTTTTTCAACCAACACCTTATCAATCACTTTTTAAAAAAAACATTTTTATTTTTCATTTTTAGAGTCATATTCTATCCCTTCATAGTAGTTACCCGTATTTTTGGCATATATATCTAAGTTGTTCTATCTTTAAAATTTTGAGATACAGTTTCTTCTAACAGATCAAAATATACCCTAAAACTCTAGTGTATGGTTTTGTTCTAGCCTCCTGCCTGATCACATTTCTCCCCTTTTTTTTTAAATCCTCTTCTTTCTTTTTTCAAACAACTTCTTATCAATTCCTTTTATAAAATTTTTTATAATTTTCATCTTTACAGTCATATTCCATCCCTTCATCATATCAACCCTTATTTTTGTACATATATAAGTTTTTCTTTCTTTAAAATTTTGGGAGGCACTTTCTTCTAAAAGACCAAAATACACCCAAAATCTAGTATGTGGCACTGATCTATATACCAGCCTGATCATATTTGACCACATTCTGTTTTTGTTGTTGTTGTTGTTGTTTTGTTTTTTTCTGTTTTTGTTTGTTTTTATCTTTATCTTTATCTTTTTCTTTTTTTTCTTTTTCTTCTTTCTCTCTTTCCCTTTCTTTCCCCACTGTTTCAGGTCATTTCTGATTTGTTTAGAGTATATTTTCTGGGGACGTTGTTACTCTGCTAGCATTTTGTTCTCTCATTAATCTATTCTCCTCTGCACAAAATGACAAGATGGAAAAAATCACGCCAACAAAAAGAACAAGAGGTAGTACCGACTGCCAGGGACCTACTCAATAAGGACATTAGTACGACGTCAGATCTAGAGTTCAGAATCATCACTTTAAAGATACTAGCTGGGCTTGAGAAAAGCATGGAAGTTATTAGAGAAACCCTTTCTGGAGAAGTAAAAGAACTAAAATCTAACCAAGTCGAAATAAAAAAGGCTATTAATGAGGTGCAATCAAAAAATGGGGGCGCTAACTGCTAGGATAAATGAGGCAGAAGAGAGAATCAGTGAGCTAGAAGACCAAATGATGGAAAATAAAGAAGCTGAGAAAAAGAGAGATAAACAACTACTGGATCACGAGGGCAGAATTTGAGAGATAAGTGATACCATAAGACGAAACAACATTAGAATAATTGGGATCACAGAAGAAGAAAGAGAGAGAGGGGCAGAAGGTATAATGGAGCAAATTATAGCAGAGAACTTCCCTAATTTGGGGAAGGAAACAGGCATCAAAATCCAGGAAGCACAGAGAACCCCTCTCAAAATCAATAAAAATAGGTCAACACCCCGACATCTAATAGTAAAACTTACGAGTCTCATAGACAAAGAGAAAATCCTGAAAGCAGCTCGGGAGAAGAGGTATGTAACCTACAATGGTAGAAACATTAGATTGGCAACAGACCTATCCACAGAGACCTGGCAGGCCAGAAAGGACTGGCAGGATATATTCAGAGCACTACATGAGAAAAATATGCAGCCAAGAATACTATATCCAGCTAGGCTGTTATTGAAAATTGAAGGAGAGATAAAAAGCTTCCAGAACAAACAAAAACTAAAGGAATTTGCAAACACAAAACCAGCCCTACAAGAAATCGTGAAAGGGGTCCTCTAAGCAAAGAGGGAGCCTAAAAGCAACATAGACCAGAAAGGAACACAGACAATATACGGAAACAGTCAATTTACAGGGAATACAATGGCACTAAATTCCTATCTTTCAATAGTTACCCTGAATGTAAGTGGGCTAAAGGCCCCAATCAAAAGACACAGGCTAACAGACTGGATTAAAAAACAAGACCCATCAATATGCTGTCTGCAAGAGACTCATTTTAGAACCAAAGACACCCCCAGATTGAAAGTGAGGGGGTGGAAAACCATTTACCATGCTAATGGACACCAAAAGAAAGCTGGGGTGGCAATCCTTATATCAGACAAATTAGATTTTAAACCACAGACTGTAATAAGAGATGAGGAAGGACACTATATCCTACTTAAAGGGTCTATCCAATGAGAAGATCTAAGAATTGTAAATATCTATGCCCCTAACATGGGAGCAGCCAATTATATAAGGCAATTAATAACAAAAGCAAAGAAACACATTGACAACAATACAATAATAGTGGGCGACTTTAACACCCCCCTCACTGAAATGGACAGATCGTCTAAGCAAAAGAACAACAAGGAAAGAAAGACTTTAAATGACACACTGGACCAAATGGACTTCACAGACATATTCAGAACATTCCATCCCAAAGCAACGGAATACACATTCTTCTCTAGTGCCCATGGAACATTCTCCAGAATCGATCACATCCTAGGTCATAAATCAGGTCTCAACTGGTACCAAAAGTTTGGGATCATTCCCTGCCTATTTTCAGACCACAATGCTTTGTAACTAGAACTTGATCCCAAGAGGAAAGTCGGAAAGAACTCAAATACATGGAGGCTAAAGAGCATCCTACTTAAGAATGAATGGGTCAACCAGGAAATTAAAGAAGAATTTAAAAAATTTATGGAAACCAATGAAAATGAAAACACAACTATTCAAAATCTTTGGGATGCAGCAAAGGCAGTCCTAAGAGGAAAGTATATAGCAATACAAGCCTTTCTCAAGAAACAAGAAAGGTCTCAAGTACCCAACCTAAGCCTACACCTAAAGGAGCTGGAGAAAGAACAGCAAAAAAAGCCTAAACCCAGCAGGAGAAGAGAAATAAGAAAGATCAGAGCAGAAATCGATGAGATAGAAACTAAAAGAACAATAGAACAGATCAACGAAACTAGGAGCTGGTTCTTTGAAAGAATTAACAAGTTTGATAAACCCTCGTTCAGACTTATCAAAAAGAAAAGAGAAATGACCCAAACCAACAAAATCATGAATGAAAGAGGAGAGATCACAACCAACACCAAAGAAATACAAACAATTATAAGAACATATTATGAGCAACTCTAGGCCAGCAAATTAGATAACCTGGAAGAAATGGATGCATTC